GTCTTGCCGCGCCCGATCATGCTAGAGGTTGCCCGATCGGGCGGTTGCTTCTCCTTGTGCTTGGACTTCGATTGGGCTAGATTTCTCGGCCCAATCCGGATTTCCTCTCGGGTCTTGAATACTTGGTCCAAATGCCTCGGGATCCCAATTACCAAGCCCTTAATCACCGGCTCTCACCGATCCTAGGCTCCAAAAGTGGTTGTGTCCTTCTAGCTTCCGTAGTTGATCCATAAAGCCTGGGAAAATGCTCCAAGAGTGCAATTTCCTGTAAAATACAACTAAAACTACGAAAACACTAGAACACACAAATTAGTAATAAAAGTGGCTCGAAAGAGCCAAAAACACTACTAATAACGACCAAGGGACGGGGGTAAAACACTATATAAAATGGACATATCACCGTGTATGTGCTTTGAGGTTTAAGATACTTCCTGAATCTAAGCAGTCTTGTTTAGTGGTTTCAACAATCCAATGATACTCAAATTCATCAGGTGTTTCCGCACTGCTTGAAATTCCCATCTCAACAGATACCAATTGTTTTCAAGGCCACATCTAGAGGTGCAATGTAAAAGAAGTCACGTTCATATTCATTCAGCAAACACCAGCCATCATTATCAGCTGTCCACACTCCTGCAGGATCATACTCGTCAGCCTTACTTAGAAAGTCTTTAATTAATTCCAGATTCTTATCCAATGATGAGCTTGAGTCGACTAGCATGTCATTGCCTTCCATCTGGTCTTTTTCTTCATTGTCAACAGAACAAGGATTCAGCACACCCGTCTTGACCTGCAAAGATCACGCTCAAAAGGAAGGCTCTTACAACTGTACATTTCTAATCTAACCATATCAGAATTAACAAATCTACCTCTTTTTGCAGCATATTCTTCTTTTGCAATGCATCATGCACTCCTACAATACAGTACATCAGCTAAACAAGTAGATTTGAAACAATCAAAAGTTTACTGCCTCTCTCCATCCATTTTATAAGTCAAAAGGACTCAGCATCCAAAACATACATATGCTTATTAGTTGTGCTAATAACAGAATTTTGTCGGACACTTAAGTGAACTCAACAAGAAAATTACCTTTAATTTAGTGTAACAAAGCAACTTCCTAGTCTGCAGCAAGTGGTTTTAATTAGCAGTACAACCTAACATGGAAGTGGCCTTCTTTATCCTAAGTCAAGATAATTACCATCTTAGGGAACCTTGGATCCAGCTGTGCTGTAATACAAAATGCTTACTACTCATGTTTCCAACCTTGTCTGTGGGTCCTCTGATGATTGGGGATTCAAGATCTGTTGGCTGCAATTTAAGTTGGTGGAGTTCCAAAATGAAGATATATGCCATGAATAACTTTAAACATAGGAAAGACATGTTGGAGCAGGGACAACAAAAATGCATATATATCAAAGCTCTTGTTACCACAGTAAAACTAAGAATCGATTATTTTACATGTTATTACTTTTGTTCTTGATATGTTATTGCAAGATTCAATAATGTCACCCGAAGAATGTAGTTAGTTTGCACATGTGTGACTCCAATAGTTGTGAACTTCTAAAACTAAAATGTTACTGCATAAGGTTATGGATCTTGTCAACTTTTAAAAAAATTTACTCGTATCATCTTATGAGCTTAAGGATTTCCTCTAAAATAACTTAAATTACTACATACTTAGTATGCATAATGACAAGCACAAATACAAGAGATCATACATGCAAACATATTACATGATCAAAGTAGAGAAGCTTCATCACAATTGTGCACTGTAATGAGAAAGAATATAATAAAAAAGTATAAGCATACCAAATTTCATACTAGTATACCACTACTTTGCTATTTTTTTTTACCTTTTCTGGCTAATATATAATCAATCAATTTTCCAGAATTGAGTAGTTCAACTTCCACTAAAATACAAAGTTTGATCTCCAAATATTCAGCACAAATGCTCATCGCAAACAATAAATCCATATGATAGACACAAAATCAAATTACAACTGAATTTAAACTTTATGCTCACAAATTTATCAATTAACATTCAATTACAACTACTTTGTCAGACATTTCTGGAAACACTTGGCATAAACCACAGCTCACAAACTCAACAATAATAGTGATATTAGCCGATGAAACAATTAACACAAGAATAAAGGCAGATTTTGATGATCACAAAGTAATAATACAAAATTAAACCCTAATTCAAGCAACGAATAATCAGAAGCTCACAAACAACGAAAATTCAATCGATGACGCAATTCACACAAGGATGAAGATAGAGTTTGATGATTACATTGTAATAATACAAAATTAAACCCTAATGTCACGGGTCATCTCCCTTGCCAACCACTTGCCAACCATGGGCGTCATTTGGGTCACTAGGCAACGATCGTGGCTAGGGGGCTTGCCCTTGGTACCCAGGCAAGCACTTCCCCCTAAAGAGCTTTATTTAGCACCTTGTGTAAAATCCCAGTGAACACCCAAGTGACAGTAACACAATAATGGGTCATTTGGAGACCCAAACGAAGTCCAAATGGGCACAAATATGGGGGTCCACCGTATTTTGGGCCAAGGAAGACGATGGTGGTGTCGATTTTCCAAGATGAGGTTCCGAAGTACAAGTTTTGGCAGCAGGTAGTCCGGAAAACGCGGGAAGCTTCTAGAAGGTTCCGGAGCTATCTATGAGGTTCTTTGGAAGATTATTCTAGAGTGAATGACTCTAGAATAATCAAGGAAGGTCTGGTACATCTTAGAATTCTTCTAGGTTCTTCTATGTATGTACATTTGTATGATGAGTTTCTAGAATGTTCTAGGTCTCTCCTTAGCATTCTAGGTAGGAAGCTTAGCTTGTAGAAACCTCCATGTATCTAGTTCCTAAAGAGGTGGGAACTCTCTAGATACTTGTAGTCTAGAACCCTCCATTTGAGGAGGTTAGGAATTTTCTAGAGAAAGCTTGTAAGTAGGGAGGAGCACTATAAATAGGCTCCAAGGCCTCATTTGTACATTCAAGTTGAGAGTAATAGAAAAAGCCTTCCAAAAGCACTTGTGTTCTCTTGTAATTCAACCCTTTCCTTCAAACACTTAGAGAATGTGAGGAAAACCAAGGCACGAGGGTGCTAAGAGAGTGATCGGGCATACTAGCAAGGATGATAGCTTCTGTGCTCAATTGTCTACGATACTTAGTTGTAAATCCGGACTAAGGCACTAGGGGTGAGTGCTTAGTTCAACCAAGGGGACTTGTTAGCACCAAGGGGACGTGCTAGCAAACATATTTGATCAGCACACAAGGACGAAGATAGATTTTGATGATCACATTGTAATAATAATACAAAGTTAAACCCTAAGCTAAGTAGAAATTCAAGAACCGAATTATCAGAAGCTCAAAATCAACGGAAATTCCATCGACAATACGTTTAACACAAGAAATCAAGGATGAAGATAGACTTTGATGAACACATTGTAACAACACAAAATTAAACCCTAAGCTAAGTAAAAATTCAAGCGATGAAGTACCAGAAGCTCAAGATCAACGTAAATTCAATCGATCGAACAAATGATAGCAAATTTCATCTCAGATTTAGCAAAGAAACTGACAATTAACTTTTCAATTTGAAAGAAATTTACCAGAACATCAAATTGTTTCTGAGCTAATTCCTATTCATTCACCAGCTGTGTGACAACCTGAAACGAAAGGAGAAGCAGAGAATTGAACTTAGAGGTGTAAGAATGATCCGAAAACAGAGAAGTAACGAGTATGAATGAGGATTTTTAGAAAAACAACGAGAGATGAACCGCCATGTTTGTGAGATTGGAGAAAGAAACTTGCACTGCAAGATTAGAAAGGAAGGGAAAGGGGAGTTTAAAGTTGAAGGAAAGTGTACAGGAAAAATGGTGAATTGGGATATATATAAGATCGCGGGAAATTTGGGGAAGGAAATGTTCAAGGAGTTTATTTATTTATTTATTTATTAACTTGTACTCCGTAACATAATATTACGTGTGATCCGTGTCACCACTTTAATTTTATTTCGTGATATAAGCATATAAAATTTTGTTAAAGTTATCTTAATACTTAATTAAAATTTACTTTTTATTGAAATTCATTCTATTTACTTAATTTTCATCAATTTGGAAATATGGCTAAGTTAGGATTCAAAAATTATCCGGCTGAGGTTATTACTTTCTTGTATGTATCATTATATAATTCACTATACACATACCTAGTCTAGTAATCTCCAATGAATTTTTTGGATCGTAGGAGGGTCGGGGACTTGCTAGCCCACCCCTGGCTTTGCCCATGTCTGAAATTAAAAAGGTCTAAGATTACAAAATTTGATCATAACACTTCCCTTTTTTAGAAACTAGATCATAACACTTTAGGAACAATATAATATTGTAAGATCTTGTCCACCCAATGCTAAAATAAACTTCAATATTATCCTTATTTGAGCTTGTTTGACCTTACTAAAAAAAATCCCTATGAAATACTTCGTACGTTCTTTTTTACTTGACCTGTTTCTTTTTATCATGGTTGTCGATACACAACTTTAGCCATCAATAACTTTTATAATTTTATTATAAAAGTTATATATTGAGATACTATTTATTTAGACGATTCTAACAAGATCTCACATGAGCATGTTTTTCCTTATCAATAATTCACAAAAAAGACGGTCAAAGAAAAAGTAATGAATAGTGTAAAAGTCAAAACAAATCAAGTAAAAAACAACGGAGGAAGTAGCTCATAATAAGGAGAACATTATAAGATCTTCTCTCTCGTCTGTGAATGTAGGTAACACATTGTTAGTAAACCATGCATTGTTTCGAACCTGATGAATATTTTGCTTCTTAGACGAGGGTCCATAGCATACTAATTGAGTAATTGGTATCTCAAACTGACAAATAGCCTAATTCGTATCTTAGCCAGACTAAACCAGCCCAACAATTTAGAAACCAATTCATACAAAACAGTCCGTTTATCCAAAAAAAAAAAAAAAAGAAAAAAAAGAAAAAAAAAATGTGCGCTGATTGAAATAATTTTCCGTATAGTTTTTCCGCCACAACACAAACCAAAGGGTTTTGCATTTTCCCCTAAATTTCTTTTTCCTTCTCTCTCCTAAATTTCTTTTTCCTTCTCTCTCCTAAATTTCTTGCCAATTTCCATGGCAGATGAAGCTTCAACCATAACTTCTACATCAAAAATGGCGGAAGATCAACCAACGCCTAATCAGTCTGAAACTACAAACGAGGGAACAATTCAGTCGAATGCGCAAGGAGAGCACTCTGAATCATCCCTCAAAAACCTTGAATCTTCCGAAATCTCTGCTGTAAATGACCATGAGAAGACTCTGGAGTTTGCTGATGAGTTAATGGAGAAAGGAAGCTTGACATTTAAAGAAGGTGACTTTCCTGATGCTGCTGAACTTTTTAGCCGTGCCCTAGAAATCAGGTTAGGGTTTTAATTCTCTCTCATTTGAATTTGATTTTACTTAGAATTTGTTTTTTATGTTTGTTTTTGAACAAGGAATTGCTTGAAATGAATTTGATTTAGGTGTTTGATTTTAGTGGTGAAATTGAATGCTTCGAATTTAGGGTTTTAGCGAATTTAGGGGATTTATTCTGGATTGAAGCAAGTAGAAAATGACTGATGATTTTGGACAGTAATTGGAGGTTTATTGTTTGTTAAAGGCTGCCCCATTCCCAAAATATGTGCATTTGATTTTTAGGTTGTGCCCCTTTTTATGCAGAATTTGCAGATTAAACAACTTATTAAGATAAGACAATATGATTGCAGTAAGATCAAATTAGTTATAAACCTTCAATGTGTTTGGTTTATGATGACGATTCACTGTTTTCGATAGGCAATGCCGGGGTTGGGGGGGGGTGTTGGAGGGGGTTATCGAAAATATGAAACAAAGCATACCCAATGGCGGATCCTCCCTCTCTTGTGATCTCTTCCTTATGATTGTAACTTGAAAATAAATCTGGGATATCCTTCATGTTTTTGGTGGTCTGTAACTCTAAAATTCATTCAAAAACAACATTTAAATTTCCGGATATACCATATAGGTGGAACCAAAATCTCTTTGTAGTTCTAAATGATTGAAGATTGCATATGTGCTAGCCTCCTAGACCCTGTAAATAATGTGATAGATGTTTGCTGTTTTCATTTTGGTCTATGGAGAAGCCTTTAGATGAACTGTAACTCTTGTAAAATAATTAATTTGGAAGCCTTATCGTCTTGTATGTTTGTTTTTTGATGATTATATACCTTGACATTGGGTTGCCTTTTCTTTTACTACAACAGGCAATGGTTTAACTTGCTTAAGAACGTGTTTGTCCCCAGTTGTAGTGATATTCTTGTACTTAAATGGTGTAGCATTTACTTAGCTGCATTACTTGGAGTGCTCTGAATTTATGTATTCGCTTATAAAATATAAAATTTCTGTATATTCATATAATTATATAAATGGTTAGTAATCTTAGTATGGCCATCTTGTGTTGTTTTGCAGGGTTGCTCATTATGGTGAGCTTGCACCTGAATGCATTAAATCATACTATAAATTCGGCCTTGCATTGTTGTACAAGGCACAGGAGGAGGCTGATCCCTTGGGATCTATGCCAAAGAAAGATGCTGAATCCCAGGAAGGTTCTGCTAAGATTGAATCTTCAAAGAAACCTGTTGAGCGTGAATCATCCCTAGCTTCCATTTCAAGTAATGCTGAGCAATGTGCAAGTTCAAGTCAACCTGCGAGTTCAAGTCAGCAGCAAGGCGCTGATGATGGTAACTCTATTAGCATGTCTGTGTTTGATGTTTAAAAATGCGTAAATACTACCACCTCTGTTTCTTAATTGTTGCATCATTTTGACTAGACACGTGTGCCAATGTAGTACGTTGATTGTGACAAAGTATTATCTTTCATTATGCTTTTATAGATAATCTTATTTTGAAAGTATATAATGAGATTAACTCAACACAATTTTAAAAAATTAGTTTGCAAACGGTTCCTTATGACAATGCATGTTAGGCATGTAAGCTGGCCCCAAATCATTTTGGGAGTAATGTGGTCAAAGTTATTATAGGAATGGTGTAAAAAATTAATATGATGCAACTAGTGATAGATGGAGGTAGGAGTTTCAATTGGATGTTGGTATATTATGTTTTAACACCATTGAATAGATAAATCATAAACATCTCAGATTCATGCTTGGCCTAAGCCCATGTTTGTTAGTCTGGCAAAACAGTAGACAGTTGCAATGGCCAGAAGTTCAATCCAAATTTTTCTTCAGAAACATTATGCACTGTATTTGTTTTCCTCGCATTTCTTGCTTTGATGGTTTACTTTCTTTCGAGATAGTTCCAAGCAAGGATGATGGAGATGAAGATGAGGAAAGTGATACAGATGAAGTTAATGAAGCTGAGGAGGATGAGTCTGACTTAGATCTGGCGTGGAAAATGCTTGATCTTGCTAGAGCAATTTCAGAAAAGCAGTCCAAGGAGACAATGGACATGGTTGATATCTTGTCGGCTCTTGCTGAAGTTTCCCTTGAAAGAGGTATCATATAATAATTTCTTTTAATTGGCTATGAATCAGTCTGTTGATCATTACCCCAGTTATTGACTGCCTGTTCAAGTTTTCTTGCTGGCCTAATATATCATTCTGGTACTCAGTTTCACTAAATCATGTTTGATGTTTTGATTGCTTCTTTGCAGAGGATATCGAGACATCTCTCAGTGATTATCAGAAAGCACTTGCCATCTTGGAGACTTTGGTTGAACCTGATAATCGCTATATCGCTGAATTGTATCCTTCAAGCTTTGCTGTATTCTGAAAATCTTAGGTGGCATCAAGTTTCCCCCAGGATTGGGACTATGTTTGTTGACTGTTGAGTTCACTTCCCTTGCATAGTGCATGCTAGACATTTCTTTATATGTTTTATGATTGCTTCGTAAGCTAATCCATGCATAGCTTAACTAGAACATTCATAATTTACATACAGGCTGGAATACTCATGGTTATATGGATTACATACAGGATTGGGACTATGTTTGTTGACTCTTGAGTTCACTTCCCTTGCATAGTGCATGCTAGACATTTCTTTATATGTTTTATGATTGCTTCGTAAGCTAATCCATGCATAGCTTAACTAGAACATTCATAATTTACATACAGGCTGGAATACTCATGTTATATGGATCATTCTATATTCTTTGGACAAGGTTCTAGTTAATTAGTCTTCTTGGTAGCTTCTTATTCCAAGTGTTGATTCTATGTTAATAGAATGCTTCTTGAGTTATTGGTTCCAGGCTTGCTGTAGTTAAAAATCATTATCTATTTCATTGCTTTGCTCATTTGTAACCTTCACAGTATATGTCAGAAACTTCCGCATCTGCCTTTGTCTAGAGGTTGGCTCCAGGTCCCAAGAAGCTATTCCGTATTGTGAGAAGGCAATATCTGTATGTAAATCAAGGATGCAGCGTTTATTGGATGAATTGACAAGAACACCAGATGCTTCTGAGGATGCTGCCGCTGATAAACAAGCAAAAAAAGCAGAGATTGGAACATTGAAGAGTCTCTCCAGTGACCTGGAGAAAAAGGCAAGTCTCCCGCTATCTCTTTCTTTTTTGTACCTCCCCTTCCCCAACCTTCCTATGATTACCTCTTCCTGCTCTGGGACTGCTAGGCTAACTGTGCATCTGTCACCAGCTTGAAGATCTGCAGCAACTGGTATCCAACCCGACATCTATCCTATCTGATATCCTGGGATTGGCAGCTGCCAAAGCAAGGGCCAATGAGCAGGCTTCTGCATCTGCACCAGCAAGTTCTTCACGTGTTGGTGTTGCCACAAGCAATGGAGAATTTGATTCCTCCACTGTATCCAGTGCTCACACTAATGGAGCTGCCAGCGGAGTCACACATCTTGGTGTTGTGGGCAGGGGAGTAAAGCGTGTGAACATGAATTCTGTGAATGTAGAATCAGACTCCAGTAAAAGACCTGCCATTGATCCTAAACCTGATACAGGTGATAGCAGTGCTGCTTGAAGAAAAACATCAGAAATTCTAACAACCGGATGTGAGACATTTCTGAGCATCTAGATTCTGATTGAGCAGCATAATATTTCTCCTTTATTCTTCTTGTACTATTTTATGCATGTATGACTTGGATTGTACCAAGTAGTAGTCTGGCTTTGATTCCTCAAAACGATATCCTTCTGAGTGATAGTTATGTATGCTGTAGAAGCCTGCTGGGGCGCTTGTCCATGGTTCATCCTGCTTCCTCTTATTGATAGACACCGTCTCTTGTAGAGTTGTGATCATGGTTTACTATTTTCATAATCAAATCAGACCTATCTTAGATTCATACTTCGTATGTTGTTTAGTAGGCCGGCCTAGTCTTCACAAATTATGGCCTATAGATCTTCTGTTATGGCCTTTTTCTTTTCTCGTAACTTGATATCACTATATCTACATCAGTGGATGATGTTCTACAGCATTTGGGCCAATTTATCAACCTCAACAATTAGTAATGTGAAATGTCTAAACTATAGCAATTGTGATTATGTAAATTAGCCTTAATACATGTCTTTTAAATGTCATTTTTTTACTCGTTATAATCTTTACTCATATTTGATTAGATGACAAAATAATACTTTAGCAGGCGTAGACCTCAAAATGTAACATTTATGTTGAAAATTACTATGTAATTCTCAATTTATCTAAAAAATTACAAATATGTGAATGTAGATTGCATGGAAGTGGACAGAGGTGTATAACAGTGAAATAAAATCAAAGCAATGCATTGAATCATCAAATCATAATGTCATATTGTCAAGTACAATAACTCAATAGGCAATAATTAAACGAATTTTGACTACTTTTGTCTAATACCATAAAATAATAGGAAATAAATGTTGAGGTTTGTCGAATTTTGTTCATATTACACTGTAAGTGGCTCCACTATTTGATAATTACAGTGAGGCATCCTACTCAAAAGCGAATTTCATTTGCCACTAATTAAGAAATCTTATCTTAAAAATCTCCATTGATATTGAAATCTTAAATAAAATTGGATCACTTTCCTATATATACTAATTCTTTCTTTTGTCTCGATGATCTAGACAAATACTCGTGATAATGAGGTTTATTCTAATTGGAATTTAATTTATTCATCTCCAAAATTGTTGCTTAGAAAAATCATCTTATATTTAGTATATGTACATTTGTTCAACCAAGAACTAGTAGAAATAAAAAGTTTAACTTTTTGCATTTATATGTACATTTATTCAATATTAACCTTGTATTAACTTTTTGCATTTATATGTACATTTATTCAATATTAACCTTGTATTAAATTTTTGCATTTATATAGCCTAAAGTAATTGAAAATAAGATGAACAATGTTTTGTTCACCTTATTTTCACTTATTTCAGGTATAATAAGTTCATTTCAGGGAAAATAAGCTTTGATAAGGGTTGTCTAATTTCACATTACAACTAAAATAAGTTTTAATATGATTTGATAAGTTCAGATAAGTGAAAATCATGTAAATAGAAAATAACATCCAATTAAAATTTCAATAAAGTACATTATTTTTATTTATTAAAAAAAAGGCATTACCATCTTACGGTAAAGACAACAAAAGTCAATAATCTAAGTGAATATTTTTCATAAAATTACAAAAGCATAAGCTATATATTCCAGAGAATCTTTGCACAATACAATATTTATTAGAGATTGAGATTTGCCTTAAAGATGAGTAATATTTTTAATCCTCCGTGAGTAATGCATGAGAGGTTAGATTAGTGACTTAAATTTATGGATAAAACTATTGTTTAAAGAGTTAAAAATAATGTCAACTAGTAACTGATCAAAGTTCACGAGTGTATGATCTAATAGTCATAGACCTGAGACCTCAAGTTAATTGACCAACAATTAATTAATGAAAGTTTTGGATTCTAATTAATCTGTTTTCTACCTACTTGGCTTTTGCACTTTGTCCAATGATTAGGTGAATAACTAAGCTTATTGTCCTCAAATATTCAAGTTTAATTAGTTTTTCTATATTGTTAGTCTTTGATGATTTCTTTGTGCTACCAAACAATCAACAACATATTCCTTTTTCACCAATATATAGGAATAGGATTAGGCATTACGGCAGTATAGTTTAGTTTAGGGTTCTGTTATTAGTACTCCCTCCGTCCCAAAAAGAACGACCCATTTGAGTTGATTATGCGGGTATTAAGGAAGTTAAGTAAAAAGAAGTAAAAGTATATTGGAAAAATAAATTTACATGGGGTTTGTAAAAAAATAGAGAGAGAAAGTAAAAAAATAACATGGAAAATCAAATTTTTATATGAGGAAGCTAATTTTGCACAAATATTGTAGCAAATTGGTGGGTGTTTTAATGCAAATGGGTCATTCTTTTTGGGACAAAGTTTTGGCCAAATGGGTCGTTCTTTTTGAGACTGAGGGAGTAATTAATTAATATGATTATTTATTTATTTTCGTGCTAACAATATAATGCATTAATGCTCCTAAAACAAGACCAGTGCAATTAAGATTTTAGGTATCAGACTGTACATAATCAGTACATATATTGATATATATGATATGATTGAGATTTTTTACCCCACATTGTATTTTACTAGTATCACTATTTTTGTGTATGGTTAATTTAGCAACCATAGACGTGAATAGAATTTGATTTCGGATTTTAGAAATCGCCCCATGAGCGTAATTCAACCTATATTTACCCTTTTACCTTATTGTTTGAATTTAAACAGTACACCCATGTATAATACTTGTACCTTTTCACTTAGTATTGATACATAGAGTTTGATCATTTATTCAACTTCATTTTTGTAATATATTTAGAGCCGAGTCACATTGTAAAAAATTATTTTTCAATTATATATGTACTCCGTGTCAACACCTTATACGAGTTTGTCAGCCAAGTTAAGTCACACTTGGGTTCAAACTCGTGACTACAAAGTAGGGGTGGCAAACGGATCAGGTCGGGTCGGGTTCTTGTTCGGGTCACCTAGTTTCGGGTCAGGTGACCCCTAACCCGAACCTGATCCATTTAAGTTTTCGGGTTGAAAATCCCAACCCGAACCTGATATTTTCAGGTTCGGGTCAACCCGAAAATGACCTGATTTGACTTGTTTTTTTTTTTTTTCTGTTCGAATTTTTTTAACATATTATACACAACATTCCTTGAATTCTTCTGGATCTATCAATCATAAAACCCAGAAAAATATTCAAACAAAAAACCCAGAAAACAATACAAACAAATCGCAAAAAAAAACAAAAAAAAACCAGAAAAAAATATGTAAAAAATCAGAATAACTAGATCGATGAAGAATAGGCGATTATCAGGAACAAAATGTATATACTTACATTATAATTTCATCAAAAAAAATTATAATCAGAAATTTGAGAAAAATAAAACTAGATGTACAATCTAACCTAAATTTAAACTAGATCTAAAGTATAAAAAACCCCAACAATAGACGGTGACAGTGATGGTGGTCGGTCGGGCTTGCTGTGACAGTGACGGTGGCTAGCTTACTCACGTGACATTGTTGACTTGCTCGCGTGAAGAGAGAGAAATAGGAGCTTTTAAGGATTATTCGAATATAAAGAACAAAATTCACAAAAATCAGAGAAGAGAAGTTCAAATTCGGATTTTCTGGATGAATTGAAGCATTCTAGAGGAAGATAGAGAAGGAGAAGAGAACGAATGAGAAGAGATAAGGAGAAGAGAATGGATGAAGAGGGATATAGAAGGAGGAGAATGAGTGAAGAGAGATAAGGAGAAGAAGGAAAGAGAAAATGTAGGTGACGGCTTGTGAGAGTGAAAATGAGTTAGGGTTTATGCTTAAAGATTTGGGCTTGGGTAGGTAGTAGTTTTTTTTTTTTTTTTCTTTTTTTAAAATTTTCGGGTTAAGTGGGTCATTTTCGGGTTGAAATTTTCAACCTTAACCTAACCCATTTAATTTCGGGTCGGGTTCGTGTCAACCCATTTAAGTTTTCGGGTCAAAAATCTCAACCCAAACTCGCTATTTTCAGGTCGGGTTCGGGTCGGGTTTTCGGGTCGGGTCAGTTTTTGCCACCCCTACTACAAAGAGCATGTTCACTTCAGTTTAGTTTCAGTTCAGTTCAGATCCAATCAGTTCAGCTCAGTTCAGTTCAATTCAGCTCCAATCAGTTCAGCTCAGCTCTTTATTTCATTCTCTCATAAAATATTCATTTCAGTTCGGTTCAGCTCAATTCAGTAAATATGAACAGACCCAAAATTTTCACCAAGCAAGCTTAGTTAGTATTTTGAACTGATAAATGTATTATCTATTATAAATACATAAAACTTGGTATAAGTATAAAAAAAAGTACAGTACTTGGTATTTACTTTACATGAAAAGAATAGCATCATATTGTGGTGGGTAGAAGGCAAAGCATTAACATAAATAAGCAAAGGAGAGGGTGGACCAAAGAAAGAGACATGAAATAAAGTTGGACAAAATAAGATAGCCGTGGGAGAATTGGAAGAATTCAAATATGGACATAGCAGTTTCAATCGCCTCATTTAAGAATGAAATAAATGCAAAAAATGTCACATACATACATTAACATTACTCAATTGTACGACCTAACTCTCTTTATGTCTTACCACAGTGGGGGTTGTTGCACTTGCAGGGGTAGATACGATCTTATTTATGATTATACACGAATTGCCAACAACACCAATTTCATACCATTGGTTTTCTTAGGGTACTATTCTTTTGAATTTTGAGTAGTAGGCCATATATTGGTAGGATTTCTGGATTAAAGGATTAAATCATAAACCGATTTGATAGAGCTTGTAAGTGTGTATATATATATATATATATATATATATATATATATATATATATATATATATATATATATATATATATATATATATATATATTTGTGTTCCTAATAAGCAATTAATTTGAACATGAGGCTAACAAATTACTATTACTCCGCAGTACTTTCGTTTGGCAAGGCAATTTCTTGTCTTATACTCCATTAGATTTGTGTTGTTTTAAGACAGACATGCAATAAGTATCATGTAACTAATGTTAGTGATTGAATTTGTAATTTCATAACATACATAAACGTACAAACAATAAAAGATATAGTTGCATACATAGGTACTGGTTCCTCAATTTCTTTTTTTTTTTTTAGGAGGAAGGTTTGTGTGATGATGTAACATAAATAATGATCTTTGTTTCGATTATCTAAGCTTCATGCTTCTTGTTAAGCTTTTATACGTAGTATATATTAATCTCTTAGGGTATGTTCGTTCTGTTTACCTTATATTCACTTATTTCAGGTCTTATAAGTTCAGTTCGGGAAAAATAAGTTTTGATAAATGTTGTTCAAATTAAATTATAATTAAAATAAGTTCAGATTAATTCAGATAAGTTCATATAGGTAAATATCAGGTGAATAGAACACAATATTAGGGCGTTAAGTTTTATGAGTATGTACTCCCTCCGTCCCTAAATTACATTCTTCCTTTCTATTTTTGGTAAGTTTTTTTAGTAAATCAACTCTTTTTTTTGTTTTATATTTAATGCTTTCTCACTCATCCTTACCTAATCTCACTCATAATCCTTGTGTCAAATTACAATGAATATGATTGGTTAAAAATTTTCAATTAGGAGCATGTGATTAGTCCTTTTTTTTTTGCAAAGGATTGATGACATGTCATGAGTAATAACTAATCTATCTTTGTACTTCCCATTGCATTATCTAATTATTGTTATTTGTCTTATTCTTTCCTCCTTAATTCCCGTGTAAATTTCCAAAGAGGAATGTAATTTAGGGACGGAGGGAGTATCAATTTGGCTAATTGGCCTTGCTTACCATTCAAAGCTAAAGCAATTAAAGAGAAGATTCTTGGAAAATGGGACAAACTATTTTACATGGTTAAATGATGTTATTATTAAATACATGTAATATTTCAAAAATTGATCATTTCATCATTAGATTGGACATTGATTGCTCCTGTCTTCACTTTTTTTTCATTAATTCATTGTTTAAAGCTTTCTATACACTCTTTTAAACAAGTGGGTCCAAATTATGAGCAATAATTTACATAGCCATCCAAGACCAAAACAATAATTATATGTCTTCATGGTTATAATGATGCATGAGTACTTCGTAATTAATTTTGAATCATTTCATTAGAAGCATAAGTGTTACTCCAAACTATAATAATGTGAGGTGAGGCACGAGGCAATAATCATATGTTTCATATCCTTCTCTTTTCTTCTCATTCTTGGATGTGACTCTCATACTATCATACACTACACTAGTTTGCTATTGCATGCCTATCAATATTGTAGTAGTATAGTTTCAAATTCTTTAACATAAATAAACGAGCTTATGAACATAAATGAAAGAATTATTTGAGGAGAATAAAAAATGAAATTACATACTCCATACTTATGTGAACTTAAATGAACAAACACTTCTACCACGCGTCGTACTTCTATTTCAGGCTCAAGCTTATCCTCCCATCATAGTTTGTTTAAAATTATTCATTAACTGTACTGGATATTACTATGTTGGATGTCTAAGTTTATTGATCATTAACTCGATATTACTATGTATTGGAGAAAAATAATCTTACTTTCATTTTTCATGTGGCTGAGCTGAGGGTTTGTTCTCTTCAACTTATTTTCAATTCAGTTCGGTTCAGCTCCAATTAGTTCAGTTCCTAATTTCCTGCTCGATCTCATAAAATATTTAGTTCAGTTCAGTTCAACTCATTTCAGTATTTCAAAACAGGCCCTAAGTTTCATATATAGATGCAAAGATCATACAAAACTTAACCTAATAGTGAGTCTTTGGAGATAGGAATTTCCTTATTCTTTCCCTCGCTTTACACAAATTTAACTTGCAAATCTACATTGAAATGTATGAAATGATAGTATTTGCCACATCTCAAACTCTTTTTGCAATTGAATAATGGTTTTTTTTTTTTTTTTTTTTTTTTTTTTTTTTTTTTTATATTACTATATACATAGATGAGCCAACAATATTCAAATTATTGTACGTAAACCAGACCCATACGTAGTTTAAAAATCTCATACATTGATTCATTGTTTAACATTTGTGGGTGACAAAAGAAAGGCAATCCCAATAAAATAAATAGAGGGGGTCTCAAATTATTTATTGTAGTGATGTAAGAGAGGGGGAGTCTAGTACTCTGTTTATATTTCATTCAAAATTTCAAATTAAAGATTTATTTCAAAATAGAATTACTACCTTCATTTCTTATTATTTGCATTAAAGAAGGATTATTTGTATGATATAAAAAATTTATCTGTTACAAATAATACGAAATATAAAGGTATGTTAGTTGAAATGCATATTTTAAACATATTACGGAGTAACATTTCAAGTGTTACCTTGTCCGATAATTAAAGATAATACTTAAATATTGTCATATGAAAAAATTATTCCTATTTAGATGGTAATTGTCGTTAAAAAAAAACATTTATTAGATAAGAAATAAATAAAATTAAATTAAAACTATATGATGATCATGATGCTAATAATTAGTCACCACTAAAATACCCTAGTTACATCAATAACAGTGAATGTAGATATTTTAAAGTTTCATAACATGATAATATCATCTTAAAACTAATTTACATTTTATTATGTATACTAAGGGTCTGTTCTGATTAACTGAACTGAACTGAATATTTTATGAGAGAAGGAAATTAAGAATTGAACTGAACAAAAATGAACTTATTGGAACTGAACTGAACTGAATATTTTATGAGAGAAGAAAATTAAAAACTCTACTGAAAAGAACAAAAAATAAGCTGAAGAGAATAGACCTTAATACTACATTAATTTTTATAATAATTTTATGAAAAACTCACCTGCTGCATTTGTTTTGATTTCTTTGTAACCATAACAGAGATTTTCTTTATATTTTTGGACGGATTACTGTGAGATTCTTCTTCTTAATTGAAGACAGTAGGATATTTCTACAATCATAAAATAAATAATTAGAAAAAAAAGGTAGAATATTCAAAATAGAAAAATAAGGAAAGAAAGACTGTAGTTGGACCCCCTTCCCTTTTATATGTAAAATTAAACCAAAATCCTTTTCCTCATTATTGGATTCCATTATACCTTTCCTTTTTATTTTCTCTTCTTTCATCTTCACTTTATCATTTCCCATTTTTATTCCACTCATTTTTTTTTTTCTGTTTTTTTTTTTTTTTTGGGTTTCTCTCTATATTTCTTCATGCTTTTTTCATAGATCTGTAGCATTATAAGTTCTCTTTTGAGTTTTCTCAGAAAATAAATAAATAAATAAAAATGGTGAATGGAAAATCTGGTGCTGCTACTCCTAATAAAGGTCAAGCATGGTTTTGCACCACTGGTTTACCAAGCGACGTCGTTGTTGAAGTCGATGACATGACTTTCCATCTTCATAAGGTACTCGATTTGTTAGTTTTTTTTTTTTTTTTTTTTTTTTTTTTTTTTTTTTTTTTTTTTTTTTTTTTAAAAGGTGGAATTTTGTGTATTATTGTGTAATTTGTTAATTCGTAAATGATTTCAGTTTCCATTGATGTCGAAGAGTAAGAAACTCCACGACCTCATAAAAGAACAAGAAGCCAACAAAGTACAACCACTAGAGCAAAGACAAGATACACAAAACGACGACGTTGAATCCGAAGACGACGAAGACTTAGTTGAGCAAGAGCAATGCCACGTGTCACTCACAGAATTCCCCGGCGGCTCAGAGACATTCGAAGCCGCCGCGAAATTCTGTTACGGTGTAAAAATCGACCTGACCGCCGCCAAAGTGGCCCCACTCCGGTGCGCCGGAGAAGTTCTAGAAATGACGGAAGAATATTCTGAAGACAACCTCATCTCCAAAACAGAAAGATATCTCACAAACAACGTTCTCAAAAACATCAAGGATTCCGTGAAAGCGTTAAAATCATGCGAGTTTATATCGTCGCTTTCGGAAAACCTTGGCATTGTTGACCGATGCATTGATGCTATTTCATCGAAAGCGTCGCTTTATGATCCGACATTGTTCGGGTGGCCGGTAAACGACGTCGTTGTAACCTCTTCCGGAGGTTCTAGAAAGAAGAATATGACGTCGTCGAAGATGAGAGACGCATGGGTTGAAGATCTTGCTCAACTGAGCTCAAATCTCTTCAACCGAGTCATCTCCTCAATGAAAGAGAAAGAAGTGAATCCGGAGGTTATTGAGAGTTGTTTGATTCATTATGCGAAAAGATGTTTCCCTGGGATTAGTCGTTCCAACCGCAAGCCGACGCCATCATCGTCGATGATGGCGTCGGAAGCGGAGCAGAGACAGTTATTAGAGACGATAGTGTCAAACTTCCCGACGGAGAAGAGCTCTCGATCGCAAGCTGCGACGAGGTTTTTGTTCGGGTTATTGCGCACTGCGAACATTCTTAATGCTTCGGAAGCATGTAAATCTGCTGTGGAGAAAAAAATTGGAGCTCAACTAGAGCAAGCAACATTAGATGATTTGTTGATTCCGAGTTATTCGTACTTGACGGAAACTTTGTATGATGTTGATTGTATTGAGAGGATTTTAGGCCATTTTTTGGCGGATTTTGACGGGAGAGAAATTGAAGGTGATGGTGATCAAACCCTAGGTAATGCCCGATCACCGGCGATAATGCTCGTCGGAAAACTTATTGATGGTTACCTTTCGGAAATCGCTTCGGATTCGAACTTGAAACCGGAAAAATTCATTCAATTGGCTCTTTCGTTGCCGGAGGAAAAAGCACGGTTATATGATGATGGTGTTTATAGAGCCGTCGATGTTTATCTCAAGGTATTATCTTATATATTAAACTATTTCATTAATCATTTATTATATTAAATTTTGTATTAATTGTATAGTTGAAATGTTTAATGTGATTATTAAGTTGTGTTAATTATTTGTTGATGTTGTTATAGGCGCATCCATGGTTATCAGAGGAAGACAGAGAGAAAATAAGTGGAGTAATGGACTGTCAAAAGCTAACACTCGAAGCGTGCACACACGCAGCACAAAACGAGCGGCTGCCACTAAGAGCAGTAGTTCAAGTACTCTTTTTTGAGCAGCTCCAACTCCGGCACGCCATCGCCGGTACTCTAATCACAGCCGACATTGCGGCGAGTGAGTCCACTCGTCCTTCGGTCCAAGACGAGGACGAGGGGGAGAGGGATGGCGGCGATGGTGGAACCGGGGCGGGGAGGGAACAGAGTACATGGAAGGAGGCAATAAGGGAGAATCAAGTGTTGCGGCTAGATATGGATAGTATGAGGACAAGAGTACATGAGTTAGAAAGGGAGTGTTCAAGTATGAAGAGAGTAGTTCAAAAGATTGATAAGGTGGGAAGTGCTTCTCCGAGTTGGAGAAGCACTATAACACGTAAGTTTGGGTGTAAGTTTAAGACACAAGTTTGTGATTCGCATGAATCAACGGTTGTGGAGAATAGGAAAGGGAGACATCACACCAATCAACGGTGATTAATTAAGTCTAGTAAAAGTAAAAACAATGTGTCTATAGGATTAGAGAATTATATTTAAATTCATACTTAATTGATAGGCATATTTCGTACAATTTGTAATTTTGTTGATTGTGTATTTGGAATTGGAAAAAGAGAGGTTCAACTAGCATTCTAGCAGTATTATTTGGTGTGGTATTTCTCGATTCTTTTATTATCTTCTGGATTTGGTAAATTCTTTTTGGTGCGATCTGATATGATGAGTACATAATGATGTTTTTATACTCCGTAAATGAACCTTCATAATTTACAAATGACAATAAGGTAGATAAAATTCGAAAAGGATCCTGAAGTCAGTATTGTAACCGCATTAATAGTGTACGAGTAATATAGTATTACTGTATTAGTAAAGTTGGTACTATTGTAGTGAGTCACTTTATTGCGCCAAATAAAATTATGTGAAAGTTGGCAATACCAAAAAATATTGTGGGACTTTTGAGGTGGAATGGAGGGAGAGAGAGAGGGACCGCTAGAGGCCAAGATGTATGGGGGAGTGGCCTACGGTAGTGGGGGGAAGTTGGGGGGGAATTACTACTTTATTTGTGCGAATGATTTGGGGGACTGAATGGGTCCGGGTTCGGGTTTGGGTGCGAGTCTGAGTTCGAGTCTGAGTCCGTCCGAAAGACTTTAAGGTTATATTAGTACTAGTAAACGTAAGATGGAGAAGTGAGTGGGTCGCATTGAAGTGGCCGGTGAACAATACAGTTGCCCATGCAAGAGTGGGGTTGCTCGTGAAGTTGCCTACCTGATACGTAATGGAATCATTTGGTTTGGGGCATGTACTCAATTGGTGTGCAAATGTTTTAGGTGTTTTAGATCTTAAATTGCCGGCGAAGTTAAGACTAGTTGTAGCGTGTAAATGAGATTAACAAAATACTAATTTGTACTTTTTTAAAAAAAAAATTGGTATAATGATTATTGATTAATAAGCTGGTAGTGTTTGGGTAATAAAAAAAAAAAAACTAAGTTCATTTAAGGCATGCTTATTGAGATTCATCAAGCCATGTTGAAGTAAGAGAAAGTTAGTTGCATGAGAAAAAGTAGAATGGGAAAAGTAGGTTTTGTTTGGGTGGCAGATTAAACTCAGGATTTGTGTGAGTAAAATGAGGCGAAAAGGGTGATTGGTTTGTAGGGGGGAATTAGTACACAGTAAGGTTGGCAATGCTTGATAAAATATACTAAGCTCTTAGTGCGAATTAATTCCACTTTAAAGAAAGGGCGGATGAGATTTGAACCCGTGAACCCGTGACCTTTGTGTCACACTGGCTCCAATACCATGTTAATGTATCAACTCAACCAAAAGCTTAAGTTAATAGTTGAGGCCCATGAATATGTTTTATACCCTATCAAATAATTTATTAATATTAAAAAATATTTATGAACAAAGAATAAGTATTTCCTAACGGCTCTATATTACTTTGATTACAGCTTTTTGTTAATTACAATAATATACTTGTACGTTAAACTGTTAACTATGTATATGGATGATGTTGGATTAATTTTATGAGTGTTAGAGTTTTAAAGTTTTACTATAATTAAAATCTTGTAAGGGTCAAATTATGCATTTACAAATGTGTTGATTGAACTTCCGCAATTTTACAAATACATAGGAAGTACTTTAAAAGGTTGTACACTATACAACAGTAGGTGGTTTAGTGGAAAAGAAGTTTGTGGAACAAATTAACAAACACAAATTCATCTTTAATAATCTAAAGTACGCGGTTTACGTAAAATAAACGAACTAAAGATTCGAATAGAATATGGAGTAGAATATTTGAGGATCGGATTTGCATTATAAATATTTTGCATAAAATTTGGTTGTTACAGTAAGAGCTTTTAGTGGAATAACATTCGAACAGCGCTTTTGAGTTGGTGAAAAGCTCATAATAATTATGTTTGTGCTTCTCACAAAATAAACTATGAATGTTATTTCAGTGATAATATGAAATGGGTCTGGGCAATCCGAATAAAGAGGAGAAGAGTTTGGTCTACAAACAAGGCTTAGGAGTTTCTATACTAGAATCAATTGGCAATAGTAGGGGTAATTTCTCTACATTATAAAGTGGAACCATCTCTCATTTTTTTTCTCCAATATAGGACATACACAAGTGGACTACAATGAGTTTCAACAAAGAATTCAACTACATTCTTCAAAGGTGGTGAACTTTCAACACTGTAACTCAATACAAAACTCTCTAGATACATAAACCAACAGAAAAAGATCGTAGAGTGTGTTGTACATAGGTCGTTTAAACCTATTTAATTATTTATAAGTTATAACGATAAGACCGATTTAAATAATTATTTAATCATATAGTATGAAGCATCAGATAGCTAATTTTAAATTGATTAATTATCTAATAAGAAATTAAAAGGAAGCAAATTTGTTTGGTCGTTTTGGCGATCATACTCATAGAATTTGAATATCAAAGTTCAACCAACGAGTTAGAATAAACTTAGAAGAGAATTGTTTCTTTTGTTAGTTCAATTTGGCCTTTGCACATAGCTCAAGTATATCTTAAAAAGGTATTGGCAATTATTTTGTTGTCTTTCTACAATATTTTAAGAGAAGCTTTTTTTTTTCCCCTTCCAAATAGAACAGCTTTGGAGCATGTTGATCAATTTCTTAAGTCGATCTTATACTGATAAATATTATCTAAGTTCAAATAACAACTAAATACGAGAATTAGGGCTTGTTCACATTTACTGAACTGAACTGATTGGAGCTGAATTGAACTGAACTGAGTTCAAATGTATTTTATGAGAGAGGGAAATTAAGAGCTAAACTAAACTGATTAGAGTTGAACTGAACTGAAATTAAGTAAATGTGAATAGGCCCTTAGTTTTAATAAATTCTAATTAAATGAAATAAGATAAGTTCATAACAGGTAATGAAAATTAGTGAATAAAACACAATGTTAATGGAAGAAGTCATAAAATTTGAATTTCTATGGAAAAAAATACTACAAAGTATGTAATAATTATGATGTCTTCTATATGTCAGTTTGTCAAATTATATGAGCCTTAGAAACCCAAAAATGTAATGTCAACATGTACAATTGAAGTATAGTACATTAACAAACTTGTAAAATCAATCTCCACATTGTGCATATGCATAATTAGTTAATTACTAATTACCAGGTCAAACACAATGTGAATTATCAACTATCACCAAGTCTCCTTGAACCTAACATGTAACAAACTTTAAAAATCAATCTCATCTTTCGGTGCATCCATATAATATTATCTCCTTGTGTTTAAGCAATAATGTTAATTAACGATGATAATCATAATCCAAAAGTGAAGACGACCTTTTCAACGTGGGAAAATTGGGTAATTATTAGTCAAATTATGAAATAATCAAGTAATTATCAAGGCCCAAAAAAGTAGACTTTGGCATAAAACTCGGGCCATTGAAAACATAGATCAAGTATAATGATGACACTCATAGTTTAATATACCATAATTTCTTGACAATCATGTGTGAAAAGTTTTTTCATTGATTTAGGACAAAGGAAAAGACGTTCTAAAAAGGTTAAAAATAATATGGTGGAAATGCCTTTCTATAGGACTAATAGGAGTAGGTGGTAAACAGGTTATTAAAAGGGTCATGCATAACCTGCTACTATCCTTTATTTTTGACAAAATAATTTCTGCCCACAAGAATCCTGTTCATGATTGAAATCGTCTTTTGTGGGATCAAATTATAATACTAATTATATTTCATTTACTTGTCCTATTTTTCTATTTAAATTATTGCTTTATTTAATCAAATTTATTATAAAATAAAAAATAAAAAAATCACACTCGCCCCCTTTACATTTTCTAGCATATAATGCTAGGCAAATGATATAAATGGAGACAATGAAAGTATAGAATATGTTTTTGGCTTAAAATGTGTATTGAATTAAATTTACGGCCTGTTCACATTTATTTAATTTCAGTTCAGTATTTAATTTTCCTAAATGTGAATACGTCCTTAATATTGGAATTTTTTTTTTTTTTTTTTTTTTTTTGTGTTTCACCCGGTTCACCTTTTGAGCTAATCCGGATTTGGGGATCGTTTTTGGGTGGTTAAATACCACTCCCCTTCGAATTGTTGTTGCGGGAGATCAAACACGGGTCCTCCGTGCCAATTGTAGTCTCAATCACCACTACACCAACATTTAATTTGTTATTGGAATTCCCTTTATCTTATACTACGTATAAATTCTAGATATGTAATGAAAGTTGAACCTTTATTCATGAGAGCATACTGGAAATAAGGATATGGGCATGATATAGTTGTTTTTTCATTTTCCCAAAATTAGAATAAGTCTTTTTGGTAGTTAGTAGTGACCAGCATTGTTTCATTATTTTTAGACGTATTTCTTTGTATTGTTGTGCCTATTATTGTACATATTTAATTATTAATACCTCTGATTATGTCTAAAAAAAGAAAAAATCATTTATTCAGACAAATCAAAAGTATTACACAATTATTTTTTTTCTTACATATCAAAAATAATTTAAATTATTCCCTAAATTGTGAAAAATTGCAAAATTATGGTTAGAGATGGAGGATTGGGTGGAGCGTTATAATTATAATAAATTTTAAAAAGTTTACATTAATACATATCTTTAATCTATGTATCGAAAGAGAGTACAAAAAACTGTTAAATCGATCTCTTCAACAAATAAAAGTAGTTTATAGTTTTGATGTATTATGTATATTATACATATGACTTGAAATTAAGGAATGATATTTAGCTCCAAAAATATGAATGGTTAGCTTTTCGTCCTAATGACTATGTAAAAATGTACCACATTACATTGAGATGCAAAAATTAACTACTCCGTACGACTCTACAAGACTACAAATACTACCTCCGCTAAATGTTATGTGCAACTTTGAGGTATTATTTGTGAGATATAAAATATTCCAAAGTTGCACATAACATTTAACGGAGGTAGTATTAATTCTGAATTGAAGCAGCTTAGAAAATTACTTTATCCTTATTTATTTGGGCTGGACCATCTCATTGTAATTCATAATGGCAGATCAGATGACAACTTGAAGCTAAAAACATTGAAAAACAAGCAATATTTTTTGGGCCTTTCATAAATAGAAACATGGGCCAATTTTGTACAAAGGCATAAATGGGCTTATGGGCTTATAGTATAAACTAACAAGTGTAGTTCCGCTTGTTAAGGTTTCAGCAGCCTATTCATTCGGATCAAGCAAATTTTGTGGCTATTTTACATTCTAATACGTTCGAAACGTTACTTTATTTTCTTCAATCTTCACATACTTACCGTAATAATATTACACTTTGGTTTTTCACACACATATTATCATTTTATAGGATTTAAGCGAGCTAAGGAAAAGAATAGGAGACCGAAAATGGGCAGAGGAGTGAATTATATGGCAATGACACCTGAGCAACTAGCCGCGGCCAATTTGATCAACTCCGACATCAATGAGCTCAAGATCGTTGTGATGACACTCATTCATGATGCTTCTAGACTCGGCGGCACCTCAGGATTTGGAACTCATTTTCTTAGATGGCTAGCCTCTCTTGCTGCTATGTGAGTTTCTATTTTCATTCGCAATTCAATTGCCTATTGACTAGGTACCATATGATCATGTATCATAGTTTGGCTGATGAAATAGAAGTGGCTTCTTGTATTTGCTAACGCAAAATTTTTAATATTTTCAATGCAGTTACTTGTTGATCCTGGATCGCACAAATTGGAGAACCAACATGCTCACATCACTCTTAGTACCATACATATTCCTCAGTCTTCCTTCTGGCCCTTTTTACCTTCTTAGGTTATTCTTCCTTTCCTTCTCTATTACCATCATATAGCACCCTGCTTTCTATAATGGTTTAATTCATCGATCATATAACTAACTCACAAATTACATGCCACAGGGGTGAGGTTGGGAAATGGATTGCTTTTGTCGCGGTTGTGCTAAGGCTATTCTTCCACCGCCGCTTCCCAGGTACATATCATCCTCTAAACTCACACTCCTTATCTGTATCAGCTCATGAAATCATTTACGAAATAACAATTGAACACGTAAAATGTGCAGAATGGTTAGAGATGCCAGGATCACTGATACTATTGTTGGTGGTAGCTCCAGAATTGCTAGCACACAAATTAAAGGATAGTTGGATGGGAGTTGTAATTCTGTTAATCATAGGGTGTTATTTGCTGCAAGAACATATCAGGGCAACTGGTGGTTTAAGAAATTCGTTTACTCAAAGCCATGGAATTTCCTATACGATTGGGCTGCTTCTCTTATTGGCTTACCCAATTTGGTCCATGGTTATTTTCATGATTTAATTTGTTCATCAACTTTTACTTTTTAAATTATACACTGCCATAATTATTACTCCTGTTAAATTTGTGAAATAGGTAATTAAAAGGTTTTCATCCAATTTTCATCAATCCCATCCCATTTTCTTTGGTCCAACTTTTGCTTTCTAATGTCATTCATTATAAATCCTTGAGAAATGATAAATCTATTCCCGTTATATTTATACAAGAATCAATCAAGGGCCTTTTTTGAAAACTAAACTTAAGGCCTGTTCTCGTTGACTGAACTCAGGTGAACTGAACTGAACTAAATATTTTATTAGAGAAGGAAATTAGAAGCTGAACTGAACTGATTGAATTTCAACGTAAGAGAACAGACCCTTAATTGGAGGTGAAATGAATATTAAGAGAAGAAAATTAAGAACCGTACTTATTAGAACTAAATTAAACTAAAAATAATCTGAAGAAAACAGTTTCAAAATTAACATTTAAAAGCATATTCCTCTTTAAATCCGTAATTGTTCAAAACTATTGCAAAGTACAGAGTAGTTTATACAAGAATACTTTACCAACTAAATTAACTAAAAACAATTTGATTAGAACAAAAACTTTACCAACTAAAATTAACCAATTAATACAAGAAAAATGAAGAAATAGAAATATATATTTTGAATATTTTCAATTTAAATTTAAAAGAGCTTTGATGATTGAAAGCGGGGTAAAACGCTCATATTCTATGGGTGTATAGATGAGTCTATCATGCCATTAAAATAGCAATTCAGAACGAGGAATTTTTATAATCACTGCTATTTTACCCCAACTTTGGAAAAATTTCTTTAATTCAATTTGTTGCTAACTAATTCCATTATTATTATTGTAACTTTCATTTTAAGTAAAGTAAAATAATGGACCACATTTCTAAACAGAAACAAATCCCTACATAATATCCCATCAAATGAAAGCCCATTATTGCTCATCATAGGAAAATCATTATATGGTTTTGTAAACACCTTTTAATACTATATATATATTAACATTATGTTATAATTTATTCATTAATAAAACTATACAATTGAATCAATATTAACTTAAAATTATCAAGATTAAAAATTTCATCCAGGTTGAAAAAGCAGAGAAAGGGGGGAAATTGCAGCTCAAAAGTGCTTGAAAAATAATCATGAATAGCATAGAATAACTACCACTATTCTCATTAATTTAATGAGTGTAATTACTTTCTCATCATAGCTGCTTTTGCTTCCCTTTTAAGCCTTCACAAACACCCAGAATAATAATCAATTGAAACAAATATTAATGAAATTGCAAATTAAAAAAAAAAAAAGTTCAAATTTATTTATAAAATTTCATGAAATTAAAATTAAAGAAAAAGAGGGAAGAAATGTATGATTCCTCTCAGACAAATGCCTCGTTTTGTCGTCACAATGTTAAGAATGGATCGGACTCGTCATCTGTTTGTATCATCAATGAGAAATCAACCATTTCTTCTGAAATTTACACCAAATTTTTTTTTCCAAAAAACTAACAAACAAATTAAATTCAAACAAATAAAATAGATTATTCAAAAAATATTGAGAAAAATCGAAAACAAAAACAAAATGGATTGAAAATGAAGAGTGAGAAAGGAGGAGAGAGATTGGAAGAGAAATGGAGAAGAAGGAGGAGTAATTATAGGTAAAGTCTAAAAAAAGCGGTGGATATTAGGGTTAAGGAGTAGGGTTGAAAGTCAACTACTCATTATTTGGTCTAAGTTAGGCCCAGGCCCAGGCCCATTTACCCACTTGAAGAATTTCCATTCAACCCTCGTCTAATGAAGTAATGATGTGTAATGAGTAGTCACCATGTGTTGTTAAGGGAAAATTAAATGATTAGGGGTTACTTTGATTTGCTTCTAAGGTTTCATGATTTGAGCATGGGGTTAAACATTAAAATTATAAGGAATTTTGAGAGTTAGGTTAAGATGATTTGAAGCAATGGGAATATTATTGTTAATATTTTTAGTTTTGTTCGTTTTGATTTGTGTTAGAAAGTTAAAAAAAATGGAGTCCTATGAGGGTGGGAGACTTGAATTAGAAGTCGATTATTTGGTTAGCTAGATAACCAAAGTTGAATGGAATTGAATGATTTGTATCGATGTGCCTGGACTTGGTTGTTAATGTCATTATCATTGATTAATTTGATTTTAGTTATATTTACTCAAATAATATCAATTCAAACTTAACAAATAATACAATAAGTACTGATAGTCTGATAGATATCAACTATATATATATATATATATATATATATATTTTTTTTTTTCTCATAGACACTTTGGAATGAAGATTTCCTTATTCTTCCCCCCACTTCCAAATGGCCTAGCCAGCTAATACGGACCAGGTAATGTCAATTAGGTACATTTATGAGAACAATAAAGTATAAGATAAAAGTCCATGTGCTTTACTTTTTTGGGAAAACGCCTAGACAAAATATTTGACCTACAAGCCTTTATCAAAAATTACAATTTCATTACATTATTTCCTAGTCTGATATACGGAGTACTTCCCCCCAAATTTCTTAGAGCAAATAGTTTATCATATTAGCTTGTTTCATACATGTGTAACATCTTTTAGCTGTGGTGTACCAAAAAAAAAAAAAAAAAAAAAAAAAAAAAAAAAAAAAAAAAGAAATCTCATTCAACTGTTATCTATTTTTTCAAAAAAAAAAAAAAAAAAAAAAGCACAATTGAACAATAAGATAATTTTGAAACAAAACCGAATACTTCTCATAAAACAATGAAGGCAAACGTTGCCAATTGTCCTCTTCACCTCTTTGTACAACATACATAATGTAACACAGCCAGTCCACAAATCATAGCAGTCAGCTACAGTTAAAACCGTTGCAAATTGAAGCCCAAATAATCAATGCCAAAATCAGAAAAATTACTCCTAGGATGATTAGTTTTATTTTGGCATTCTGATACCACATCTTCCTTCTTATCTCTATTGCTCTATTTTTGTACTCAAGAGACTGAAACAACAAAGAATTAACTACATATATTAGCAATTGCACAATCCTTCTAAGAAAAGGCGGTATGTTTTTCACTTTCAAATAGATGGAGTATGATATAAATGAATTACCGAATCATGTAGAGCCTCAGCCTTGTCTACAACAGTGTTTATTTGCTCCCCTCTCTCAATAATCTAGAATACAAAGCAATTAAACAGATAAGCGTTAAACTCAAAACATTGCAATCGTTCAAATCCATTTCCTTATTAGTCTCAACTTTATTTACCTTGTTTACATTGTCTGTTATGATAACTTGGACCTCGGAAATTTGAGCTTTCACTTTTGCTACCCTATCAATTTCTTCAGCATGATCAACAACCCATTGCATATTTTGCTTCATTATAGGCCTGCTCATTATACCGGAAAAAATAAGCTAACATAAAAGTTATGTTAACTGGAGGAAACACATTTTTTTTTCAAGAAACTTTCTTCCATATTCCTTTATTTGGTTTGTTCAGAAATCAAAATTCAGTTCAAATTAACTTACTGCGTACCAAATTTAATCTAAGTGTTTAGATTTAGATGTTTAGTTTGGCAAGGACTTAAAAACATACCCAAATTTCTTACTGAGACTTTTTGCAGTGGCAGCATCCCCTTCCCCATGACCATATCTTTTCTTGAAGTCCTGTTTAATTCGGTCAAGAAACTCGAATAGAATCTGTTGTGTTCCCACGGTTTCTCTGGCTACAACACCGTAAACTGCACATTTGGAAAAGAGCATACCTCAGCATAAGCATATTACTTAGAACATACTCCTTTTAATCTAACAAATAAATGTTATTTGGAATGTTATGACTACCATATGGTCCATATCCCTCTTCAACTAGGAAATTAAAAGTGTGGCCATCGTATTTCATGGTGAACTTCTTGTGAGGATCAGCAGGGAGATTCTCGAGCCATTGAGCAGCAATGCTCGGTAAGTTGCTAGGCCGGGTGGTGTGCTCAGCCAATATAACCGCCCCTCGAGCTACAAAACTGTATACAATCCATTCTTGACCCATGTTATTATCCCCAAAGTACCAGGATTTGGAGGTTTCGTAGCTTAATCTGTAAGTGGCAAGAAGTTTTAGAAAGAGCTCTGAAAAATACGTACAATATATACCTTGCTATTAACTTTGGCTTGTTTAATCTGTATATATTTGAAGCTGAAATTTCTTTATTAACTTAAAGAAATAATTCTTGAAAAAATCAGATGTTGAAATTGTCTTATTTCAAAATGTATCAGCGTTTGGTTAAGAAGACCTTTTCTTTTCCTTCCAAGAAAAAGCATAGATTTAGTTTAATTGACGAGGTTTGTTCAATATTTTGGTCATCTTGACCAAGGAACATCACATACTGGATTCAATATATCGTTAGCATTCTGTTCACGCCATCAAGCTATTCACTTTTGAAGACATTATTTTACATATAAACAATTTGCAACTATATATATGCTAATATGCAAACACACCTGCGGCCTATTTGACAAACAAATATAAATGGGATGAAGTAATAGTGTAATACATTTCAGAATTATTTCTTTGAAAATTATTCAAGAATAATATTCCAAAGTTTTGATGAACCTTCTTCCCATCTAGAGACAAGTTTGAAATCTAACCCAAAGGAAAGTCTCAATCTTCAGGATTAAATTTAAAACTCCAGATTCTTTTCAAATATACTCATCCTTTTTCACATTATTTACTCTAAAATTCACCTCAATTATCCTATAGCATTTTTTTTTTTTTGACAAAGATATATAAAATATCAGTTATTTGATCTTTATCATTGAAGGGGATAGCATTTATCTTTTGGGAGGATCAATAATCTACTTGTAGTAATTATCTTATTAAAAGTGGTGGTTATACCTACACTGACCAGGACTTCATTCCTAAAAAAATAAAAAAAGAAAATGACAAGGACTTCATTGTGTAAAGTACAAAAACTATTAGAGAAACTACTAGCAATATTAGCCTCAAGTCTTCAATAGAAGAAGACCTCTTATCATCGTATGACTCCTATCCTATCTTTTTGTCCTACTCATATAACCACAAAATACCCAAACTACCTAGATTAAGCTCTCTTTTTCTCAGTTTTACATAGCACTATAGCAGAGAATAAAGAACCCTTCATGCAACCCTCTAAGAGTCTAAGGTAAATCCTTGAGGCAATTGGCGGCGAAGCAGATGCTGGCCAACCATCTTTCTTCAATGTAGGTTTTGCGTCGAGTTTGATCTGCTACCTTCGATCTCACTTCACGCACATTGCCTCGGTAAGTTGCCTGGATCTCTTATTAGGCACTCTCATTTAATTGAATAAAAATCAAAATCATTTTTAACAAATACAAACTCGTGTGTCCAACCTAGACGTATGATGTGGCTAGATAATAAGAGTTCTTGTTTCAAATCTTACACATTGGTAGAAAGCGTATTACATTTGAATTCGCACAATATTTGTTGTGATGATTTATTGTAAAGGCAAGAAAAAATACATCATTAAGGTTATATTAAAGTTTTTGTAATTTTTGTAAAAATCATTAATTACCTAGTCAATAGCTAAGTATATTATGCCTAAGATAGAGCCTAGAATCATGCCTATTAACAATGCAGAGGTTAAGAGAATGAATATAAATATGAATATTTAGTTGTCTACATACATACTGACATACATAAAGAAATGTGCTTTAGATCATTTTTTTTTTTTTTTAGAAAACTAGGGACTCTATACTGCTCCATTGGATTAGTAGACAATAATTCCTTTGGAAATGCAGAGTACCCTGACATTGAATAATACACCATCTTTGTTCCAAATCAGTTGCATTGCTATGTTGCATCTGATTCGTGATAGATGGTGACAGACTCATCTTGTGTAGATGATACAAATTCGTTTCAAATATCTAGCAAGTTATTAGATGATTGAGGAAAGTTTTTAACAGTGTGTTTGGATAGGGTAATTTGGAGGGGTAGGGAGGGAAGAGAAAGCGAGGAATTTCGTCCCTATTATTCCCTCCCTTCCTAATACTTCCAATGTTGATACATTTGGAAGAAAAAAAGCAAAGTTTCTTTCCCTTTTGTCCCCTCCCTTCCCTTTCCTTTCTCTGGTCTTTCCTTCTTTTTATTCTGTATTAGAATTTCTAAGTAACCTATTAGAGCACTCACACTAGTGAGCAAAATTTTTTTTGCTCATTCTCTCTCTAGCCACTTTCTCTCTCTTACCAACCATGAGCATTTTTTGTGAGCATTTTTTGTGAGCAAATTTTATCCCACTAGTAAGCAAAAAAAAAATTGCTCATCAATCTCTCTCCTACTTTTTCACATACCCCATCAACATTTCTCTCTCTTACACATCACCATATTATTATTAATTATGTTTTGGTTAAATGAAGTTTTAGTGCTACTAATTACAATTATACTATTATTTAACTTAATACAATTATTAAATATTAATTAATAATATTGAATTTTAATCGCTAAACAATTATAAATTATAAATCTCACTAGAAATGGGAGAAGAATAATATAGAGTGTTTTTGTGATTTTTGAAATTATACCAAAATATGTCAAAATTGATCTCTATTTGTAGAGAAAAAAAATTATAACTGTTGATAATTTTTTTTTTAATTATAAATCGGCCAAAATAGCCGTTTTAAATTAATTACCGTTTAAAAACGGTAATATTTGCTGATTGGAGGAAGAAGCTGACAGAGACATTGGAGAAATGCTGGGCCCCACATAGTTACTATTCATCCTCAAATTTGCTCATAAGATGAGCAAAATCAGAAATGCTCATGAGCATTTTTCAATATGCTCATTGATGGGGAACCATTTTTAACAAATTTGCTCACCATTTTTGCTCATGAGCAAAAAAATGCTCACTGATGTGAGTGCTCTTAGGGTCTGGTGCAGATATAATTTCGCTATACTGAAAGATTGGTTTTTGTTGTATGATGACAGGTAAATTTTACCAACTGCTTCGTATCATTATTGTACATATTTTATAACTTTCTGTCTCATCAAACTGGCAGAAAATGTAATCACTCTAGCAAACAATGTGTTATTAATATTAAGCTACTATTAATTGAACCCACAAGTCACAAGAGATTAAAATGTGATGAGATCTAAGACTTACCTTGAAGACGAGGAACTGGATTGCCAATCAGTGTTCAATGATTTGCATGAAATTTGACTAATGGCAAAGTTCTGCCTTTATCTGAACATATACACCGACAATCTGACAGAGGGTATGAACATAGCTCCACTGAAGTTCCATGACGCTAAACTCCTATATCATCTGACTTGCATAATGAGATGAAGGGATCATTCAAAACCCTGATTTGATCCTACTCTGAAGTTCAGCTTCCTGCTGGTAGGACTGTGCTCTTCTTCACTATTAAGGGACTTCTAACAGTTAAAAAGCCAAAAAGCTACATTGGAAAATTACTTGTCCCATCATATGCTATTTTCTCCAAAGAGGTAGCTATAACTATAACAATTTAGTAGTGTTGCAAGCTCGAGGAGAAATTTGAACAAGAAGAACAACACTTCATCATCCAAGGAGCCAGCGCGTAGTCTTGCCAGGAGCAAGCCTGAGAGCTGGGTGGTGATTCAGGTGTACCAAACTGTACAGTTATCAAGACAAAGGTGCAGAACGATGTGAGTCTGGTGTGATCGAAAGCAACATCACATTTTGTGTATGAAATAATGATGATTGCACTCAATTTGTTACCTTTACCATTTTAAAGGCAGTTTTGATGATCCCAAGGAGAAACTCCAAAAGTTATACAGCCTGTGAATTTGTGATTGTGGTCAAGAAGCCAACTTCTCATCTGAAAAAGCTCATGTCCTGCATCATATCAAAAATCTGTATCAACCATGACTGCTTGCACCAATGGTAAATCGAAACACACCTCTTGAATCTAATCTGTTTAAACCAACAAAAATATTTTGCAATTAAGTCATAAAAATTGAAATTAAATATACAACAGAAGTTTTCCAACCTAAACCACTGTAGCTTTGGTAAGGTCAGGAAAGTGAGAAACAGGGAAGAGGGGGTTAGGATTTTGTACAGAACAGCCCATGGAAATGATTCCATTCTCAGAATCCTTGATATAGATGTAAAATGTATCACGTATATATTCTCACTGTTGTTACAGATTAAGCTCATCACAAGTGCTAAACCAGTTTCTGAAAGCTGGCTGTTTAATTTTTCAGTACTAGCTAAAGAACATGCATTTCATGTTTTACCTGAGGCTAAGACCTATGTTTGAAGCATAGAAACATTATAGTCTTTGCAGCCCTACATGAACAATATGAAAAAATAATCATAATAAATAAATAAGAAAATCATAAAGGCTTCCACATCTTTCAAAATGGCTAGAGGCCTTAGCGAGAGCAAGACAGTCCAGGATTGGACATTGTCAATACCTAGTCCATGATGCAGGCTGTTCACAATACATATGTAAGATGATGGTTTTACACTTTTACCTCCGGTTTTTTGCCTGATGAACTATGTTAATCTCTAATTAGTCTAATAAAACAAATTATGGACTTGATTTTTTTTACCTATTTTCCTTGAACTTGGTTGAATCGTTACCTCTACCGGTCTACCCTGTAATTAGCATCCATATTGAGCATCAATTTCTTCCAGCAGTTGTGCATGCTATGCTCATCAGGGACATAAAGCATATGTCCCTGCTGCTTGACAGCATAATAAGTACGAAGTACATGTCAAACTGAACTTCTAACATCAAAGCAGCTTTGGAGCTCATAGGCCTTGAGATAGATCATGTCCACAGTTCATACACCGTATATTTTGCTACCAGATTTTCAATGAAGTAATCACCAAAAGTCTTGACAAGAGCACAAGCCATCCTTGAAATGGTGAAATCTCAAAGAGTCTCTAACAATTATCTGTATGCCAACAACCTTGGCTGTGAATTTTATGAAATTATGACAGTCACCACATATTCTTAAATTTTTGAACACACGAATTGAAGATTCCCCGTTTAAATTCAGCAACCCAAAAGCAACTGCTAGCTTCTCACTATGGTTGCATAAGACTTCCTCTTTCTCTTCTTGATCCAGATCTTGCAGAACAAAATCAGTATTTGGCAAATACCCAGCCAGTCTGACCTTATATCTGATGTCACTTAAGAATTGGGATATTTTATCACTTTGTTCATTGCTATTATCACCAACAACAAATGAGTAAACCTTGTTCTTGACCTGAATCCAACTACAACCTGGAGGTTTTGATATTCCCTTTTCTTCCATTATTTTCCTATACTTAGAAGCTTCACCCCACAGTTTGCCAGCAACAAAGATGTTTGACAATAAAACATAATTTCCAGGATTGTCAGGTTCAATTTCAAACAGATGCTTGGCAGCGATTCGTGCCAAATCAACATTCTTATACACTCTACAACCACCAAGTAAAGCTCCCCAGGCAGCAGCAGTTGGTTTCATGGGCATATTCTGAATGTATTCATAAGCTTCTTTTAGGCGACCAGCACGACTGAGTACATCAACTAAACTTGAATAATGATCTGCGTCGGGCTCAATAAAGTGATCCCTCATTGAATGAAAAGCTTGAAGACCCTCATCAACAAGTCTTGAGTGACTGCAACCAGAGAGAACCCCTGTAAAAGTTACAGAATTTGGCTTAACCCCATAAGTTATCATATTTTTGAAGAGCAACAAAGCTTCTTCCCCTCTCCCATGCATGGCATTTGCAATAATCATGGTATTCCAAGCTATAGCATCCTTTCTAGGCATCATGTTAAATATCTGACTGGAAATCTCAAGCTCACCGCATTTAGCATACATATAAATCAAGGCTGTTGTGGTAGTCATATCAGCGAAAATCCTATTCCTTAAAATGTATGCATGTATCTCCTTTCCCTTCCTTAAGCTCTCTAAGTTCGAGCATGCAGGTAAAGCACTAGTTAAGGTAATATGATTGGGTTTGAGCCCTTGAACCTGCATTTGGACAAGCAATTCAAGAGCTTGGGTGTTCTCTCCATTATGAACACAGCCACCAATCACAGTATTCCACGAATCATAGTTTAAGGTGACCCCATGTGTTCTCATTTCACCAAATAGGCCGAGAGCCCTCTCTGATTCTCCATTTAAGAAATACGCCAATAAGATAACATTCCAAGAGACGATATCACGCACAAGCATACTATCAAACACTAATTGAGCCTCTTTCAAACATGAGCAACTTGCATACAAGTCAACAAGCGCACTAGTAACAAATGTATTCTCTCCAAACCCATCTTTCACAACGTACCCATGAATTTGTCTACCTAAATCCAAGCACTTCAATTTAGAACAGGCAGGCAGAATCGAAGACACTGTCACTTCATTCGGCCTTAATCCACTCAACCCCATCTCACGAAACACGATCAAAGCATCCCCAAGAAACCCACAACTGACATAACTCGACAACAATGATGTCCAAGAAATAACATCCTTGACAGGCAACTCATTGAAAACAGACAGAGCACCCTCACAGCACTTACATTTCCCATACATATTAATCAACGCATTTCCCACAGTAAGATCAGACAGAAACCGAAACCTAACAGCATCATCATGAATCTCTTTCGCTTTCGAAATATCAGCAGATGCAGCACAAGCCTTGACAGCTGATAGAAGCAGTATTCTATCTGGCAGCTGAATGTTCTGCTTCCTGAATAAAGTATACAACTTCACTGCTTCATTTGAGTGACCTTGCTTTGTGTAAGCAGAAATCAAGTTTGCCCAAGAATGTAGATTTGGTTCAGGAATTTTATCGAACAGTTGGCGTGCACGACTTAAATCGCCCGAATTTAGAATGGGTTTGAGCAGTTTTTCTCCTAGATGAGGAGAGATGTTAGTGGGTATTTTGAATCGCATAGTTTATAGCTAGAGGAGCGGCAGATTAGAAGAATAGCAGATGAATTTGGCGGGAAAAATCATTGACTATAATGCTTGCTCATAACTGGAATAACGACTTTCAATTTGAATTTTAGTTATTTACAGCGTCTCTCATATGATTTAAATTGCCCACGCGCAACGGCGGAGCCATCTATAGACTATGGCTGGTGGACTCCTGAAAGGTATCAAATGCAATAAAGATGGTAGTAGGTTGTGTCGAGTCGTGTCTCATTTTGAGCCTAAGTGTTTTATTTATGGTTAATAAGGCCTGCACTATGACTATGTTGTGTTGAAATTTTTATAAGGTGAGTAGGTGACTCATACACGGCCTAAGCCCACGTATCATTATGTCGTGCTTACATGCCTAAAATAAGTTCAATATTTCAGTGTATTTTCGTCATGGAGAATCGTGTTGTGTCTTGTACTGCTTCTCTAAAATAAATGTGGTACACGATCTGACATATATAGTAAATTGTCGTGTTGTGCCTACATCATGTCCATGTAGTGTCATGTTTCCTTCGCGTTGAGTCATGTTGTGCCTCGGATTGGCCTGTTCTAATGCCATCTTTAGGTGCACCGCCTTGTATTGACGTAGATTTGCATTTGATTACTCGATTGTTGCCACTTTGGATGGGCGAAATTGCAAAATCAGTGTTCTTGCTCAGCTAAATTGATCATTTTAGTGACAGAGCACTTGCCTTGTCTCTTTTCACTCTCTTATCCTTCTATCCTCAATCTTATAGGTTGTTTATTGTATGATATGAGTTTGATGCTCTATGGTTTTGATGATAGAAATTATTATCTAAGTAACTTGGTATTGAGTTAAATCTTGACTAGGTCGAGATTTTAATTTCAATTAAGCCCTGAAAAGTTCACTCATAAAAATCTCTCTTACACTTCATAATCCTTATATATTTTGTCTAAATTTAAGCCCCCATTTATCTACAATTCACCCTTCCTCCTATAGTAGTCAAATAACATACAATATTACATAATATCATTTTGTCAAAATCAAATAACATTGAAAATTTCTACTATCCAATCCCTCAAATTCTCTAAGTAAAGTACATCTTTTCAATAGTCATCCATTTTGAAATAAAGAGAACAACATCAATAATATAAGCCCAGGGAATCAAAAGTCTACAATGCCTAATTGCCTTTGCATCTCCTTGGACCAAAGAATAAGATTATGTGTACCCTATAAAGTAGAATATATTATGGGTACCCTTAACCACCCAATCAACTAACTTGATCAGCATGAGGTACAACAAAAAGAATGGCTGGTAGCAAGATTTAATATCGTCCTTTGAATTGGCTGCTGCTCATCTGTAATTTGCTCTCATCAACCTCTTTTTAAATGGTCCACTTGGTATTCAAAGATTTTTGTCGCCTAACTTTATATATCTACCAATATTTCTTCATTTTTACTTTGTTAGTGCAACCTTTTTTCTTTTTCTTTGTCTTTCTTATGCATGTATTTTTAATGCTTAATAATGCTCCATGTCTCAATAATATTGTCATGTGTGCAAAATAAATAATGCAACTATTAAATCGTTGCAACTCAATACAAATCGAAGAATGTATAACGAATACATGATAAAACAAAAGGATAGTACAATTATTTCCTCTATATATATCCCACAAAAGGCAATAATTATCTTTAAAATATTGATTTCTTTCTAAGAAAATCAAACATTTTTTTCACACTACATACATTCAAATATTCCATACAGCATTACTTCATTACTGATATTTCCCGAATTCCTTATTCACGTGATTTTTGCAGTTGCTTTCACCTTTTACTCAAGCTACTCTCTTAATCTCCGTTTCCACCTTCCGTAACAATATATACTCTAAAATGTAAAAAAATGTGAACTTGTATCTCATTTACACCATTACCCCTACCTTAAATTGCTAGATCCACCCATATATGAAGTACAAGTTCAACCCAATTGTTTAAAACAACCAAAGAAAAAAAATTGTAGGACCAAATGACAGTCCAAAATTCTTAAACACCCCCCTTAAATAGTTAAATGAACATAAATACAATTCTGAATTCTGAAATCAATTAAATCGAATTAATATATTGAATCTCATCATCCCATTCATTCCACATTTCCACACATTTCTCTGTGATTGATTTACACGCTGCTGACGAGTGGTGGCTGAGAACTGAGAAGCTGTTACTTTATAAAAAAAAAAAAAAAAAAAAAAAAAAAAAAAAAAAAAAAAAAACAAAAAAAACTGGGCACTTCACATTTAACACCAAACCATATAGTTTACTTTAAATTTTTTTTTAATAGAAACTGTCAAATAATTTAGGAAAATAAAAATGAGAGAAAAAAAGTATGAAGGAGAAAATTAGTAGGAAGAAGAAGAGAAGAGGAGAGAGAAAATGGTGGATGAAGTGCCAGGATCACTGGGTACCAGCGCAAGTTTAGCTCTTCGATTGGGTCAAATTATGTTTTCCTCTGCTTCCCTCTTTTTCATGTGCCTTGATGTTGATTTCTATGCATATACTGCTTTTTGGTATGATTTTTACTCATTTTTCTTTTATACCCTTTTTAATTTATTCTTTGATTTTGGGGTTTTTATGATTTTGTGTTGGAATTATGATTTTATTAATATGCATGTGATTTTTACAGTTGATTTGATTTCCTCTGTTTTTGTTTATATGTTTTAGTTGATTGCCATCATAGGTTATGAATTTTGTTTGAGAAAGGGTGGAATTGTTTAATTTGTTATGGGAAATCATGGGGTTGTTACATAAAATTCAGTTGAATAAAATTGTTTAATTTATGGTGTTAAATTATGTTGTTTTTTATAACTCCAATTATGACAGAATTGAACATGGCAATTATATTAATCACTGTAAAATTCATTTTTTTTTGAGATTAGGGAACTTCAGAGATTATCATATATGGAAATGAAATCATGTGCCTTGTTGAGGGGTTTGGATGTTGGTTTGGTTGGTTAGTTTATAGGTTTGATCACTTTGATCAATCTTTCAATCATTCACATGCTGATACTGTCATTGATGAATGCTGTGGATTGTTGGGTTAATATTATTGTGATCACTGATCAGTCCCTAGGCCTCGGTCGCAATTTCGAGGTTAGTTTCTCTTTTAGATGTGTTTGAATAGCTCATAAACCCTAGAGTCTTAGATGGTTCATCAAGCTAATAGTGTGAGAAGCCAAAACTCTCGTTTAGTTATTCCATTTGGAATGCAGACTGTAATCTGCTGTAAGATAACTCTAAATCCTGCGGCCTAAAAAAGCCCGGGCAGATCATGTTCATGTCTGTCCCTAACTGCAGACACATATTACAGGCAGGCTGTATCAGCCAATTTATCACACCCCTTCAGTCCTCTGCTGTGATGTATCTTCAGTCCAATGTTTATTTATAGTTCAAAATCAAGGATGCATCTTGATTGAGTCCCAACCTAGAGTATCTGTACTATACGAGTCGCACTGTCACAGAACAGTCAAGGATGCACCTCAATTAAGCCCCAACCTAACCTCTCGAGCCACACTTTCACATAAAAATATCTTTATGATGCACTAAGGCCACTAATTAGTTCTTGATGTCAGCAAACAGTTTAATTTTTACTTGCGAAGGCATCAATGGAAATTGTATGGGCTATGTTTTTGTTATTGCAAACAAGCATTGAATGGACTATGTTTTTTATTTTATTTTTATTGCAAACAAGCATTGAATGGACTATGTTTTTGTTATTGCAAACAAGCTCAAAAAGTAAAATACTACCGTACTAGTGGACACAATATGGCTATTATCTGTGCGTAAATGGAGTAGGATTGGGAAGAGGGGCTATTTTGACAGAAAACAGTTAAGAGTGGTGATCAAGAAGGAAATGAGCTTATGAATCTATGATGATCTCATAACTCACAGACTTACATCTAGAGCTATTTGTTTGTATCTTGAGCTAAGACAATAGCCCATCTTGTTGTCAGCAAACAGTTTAATATACTTTTTTAGTACATATGCTTATTTTGGATTATTGTTTAGTCGTCTGTGTTTTTGTAACTCTGTAATGTTTGAGATCTTTAATTGTTCGAGTATGAGGATTAATGATACAAGAAATTGTGAGTTTATTATTCAAATAGGAAACAGTAATAATTAGATACTAGCATTGATGCATGTTTTGTTTATAACTTTATATTGTTGTTTTGTTTTTGAAGCTTATATTTTAGTCAGTATAGGCTATCTGAAATGATCATAGTCTGAGAACTGAAACCTCAATATTTTGGTGCCTACAAGTTCTGTTTACTACTAAAAGGTGCTAGTAAAACTGTAGGAAGTTTGGCCTTGTGGAGTTCCATGTTTTCTCAAGTTTCAGCTGTCTCAGAAAAGTGAGCAGCAAAACTTACACTACAGAGTAGAGTGAAGAATTTACGCTATTTTCTTTTTCTGTTTAGTTAAAGATTCTTTTTGAAAAACTATTGATGGGCATAATTGATGTGCTTGCTACTTCCTTCTTATATATAATGGATCCTGCATTCCTGCTTGTAAACAACGGACTTGATATAAAATTTTGATTTCCGTTGTTTACTTGTCAAAGATGAAGCATAGTTGTCAGCTAGTTTTCTTGCAATGCATGTTAATTGAATTCTTTCTTACTGTTATGCAGCTTCTTAGTAACGGTCATGGGTTTGGTGATTCCGTGGAGTATGACATTGGGGCTAGTTGATGCATATTCTGTCTTTATTAAGAGGCCTTCGCGTCAACCTGGAGTAATGACTGTAATTGTTGTAGGAGATTGGGTAATTCATCTGCACTATTTCATTCCCTTCAATTTATTATCTTAGATTCTAGATTGCAAAGGTAAATGGTAGACATCTTCTTTCTTATGTGTTATCAGGTTTTGTCATTCCTTTCGCTAGGAGCAGCTTGCTCATCTGCAAGTGTTGCACAAATAATGATTGCTGAAAGCATTCCGGCGTGTCCTGTGAAAATCTGCAGTAGATATTCTCTTTCTGCTGCCATGGCTTTCTTGTCTTGCTCTATATCTTTTGCACCATCTCTCTTAAACTTGTGGATCCTTCCTAAATTATGAGTAGTTAATTGTATATAATCCGTAATACAAAGTAGTTTTTTTGGTGCTAAATTATACAAATAGAAATGTTTAAAGAGAAAGAAAGAAGATGGCTACCAAAATTCATGGTGGTATAGGCTTCTTAGCATGATTGTGTCTTGTATACTGTACAGACATTTAGATTGAAATTACAATTATTCTTATAAATTTGAATTTTTTTTACTTTTTATCATGGACTCTTGAGTAGAGTAGCTGTAGATTTTGGGCCTAGGAATTGATTTTGAGCCCAAAACCTAAAGAAAATTCAATATGATAAAGAGGAAAGCCCAACATAGTCAAACTTCAAAGTAGCATTTGAATTGATCTGGCTAATTGGGGTGAATCTGATATCCTGTTGTCAGATTGTATCAAACAGTACAGGTTTACCCCAAATGAATGGCCCAAAATAATTGAACAATGTTTAAAGTTTTAGACAATGAAGCCTTCACACATTTACCACTACGTACTCAGTCAGTCCTTTTTTGTTTGCAACATCGGCCCACTTTTTATGAGCTACTTTTGGGTCAAATGGTGTAAACAATAACGGATGGAGAGAGTATAACCCAAAAACTCCTAATTCTTTCCAATTTTTAGACACTAGAATTGTCTAGTACTGTATACATTTAAGTGTACCTAATTCTAGATACTAAGGGCCTATTCTCCTCGGCTTAATTTCAGTACAGCTCCAATAAATGTAGTTTAGTTTAGCTTCTAATTTCCTTCTCTCATAAACAATTCATTTCATCAACTCTATTCAGTTCAGCTTCAACCAATTCAGTTCAACTCAGTTCAGTAAATCAGAACAGGCCCTGAAATACAATTTTTATTGCTATTGTATTCACAATCGTACTAAGATACTACGGAGTATAAGAGTTATAAATATTATACATGTACTACTTAAGAGTTCGATTTTCCCATCTAATGGGATTACATAGCTGAATTTGTGGTTGGTATTTCGATTGCAACTCGTGGTTACTGACTAGAAAATTCTTGCAAATTTCGAAACGTCAATGAAGATTAGATTGATACAATATTTCATCATCTTCCATGACTTTCACCTAATCCTGTGTTAGGATAAGAAAAGCTTTCAAATATATTGATAGACAAATTCCGAACTATGAGTTAAACTAAACTTGAACATAGTTGAACTGAATCGAACTGAATGAAATTAATGAGGTAAACCAACTGAATTGGAAATAAAATCCAAAAGAACATGGGCTTATTGAGCTAATTTAAACCCCATTTTTGACTAATTGGTTGTCATAGTATCGGAACTAGCTAATACCCATATTTTATCGGTCATGTCTCATGTCATGCCAAATCTGATATTTTTTTTAAATGAGCACATTGTGGAAGACCATTCAAACTTAGATCTTATAGTCAAAAAGGAAAAAATGATTGAAGAATAAACGACATGATAACTAAAATTGTCTGAAAATATACTTGTATTTCGGTGGCAAGAAGAATGAAGCTTCGTGGGACTAAGTATATATAATTAGATCGAAATGACAATTTAGCAAATTACAAAATTAGTCAATTATTATAGTGTAAACTACAGTATTAAACATTGCACTAAGACAGATATATATATTTCAATAATTAAAAATCTATTTATATTTGATGAATAATTGATTAGATGCAGCATAAGGAAGCATAATGTCTTACAACTAGCTTTGAAAATTCTAGCAAAAAAGCTCAAAGTAGTTGTCTTGTTTTGGTGTCCCATCAAATTAAATAATTGTAGCTAATAATTGTATGATAATTATACGTAAACTTGGTTATCAGCTTTTCTATGATCCTTAATATATTAATTAATTACGCTGTTATTCTAAAAAGGAGTTGTACATTAGTACATACATTCATATAATATGATTGATATGAATATATGATATGATAATAGGAAGATTAATAACAATTAATATATTTTCTGACAACATTATTGGAGTTTTGCCTTTGATAATCTTTTTTCATGCCCAATTCTTTGAATCATATCGATCGATTGATTCCTTTCTTTAAGTAGCGGGAAGTGTATAAACATATATATACATAAAGCGATATTTGGTTGGGCCAATAATGTATGGTTAGACGATAATATAGGAGACTTAGTATTAATCTACTGCGTATTAGCCTATATATCCTTGTTTCTAATGTGTCTTGATGTTGTTTAGCATGTTGTAATCATATTATTTTGTAACGAACAATATAATCTAGGTAGATTTTAGTTCCTACGTTTGAAAGGTGGAAAGCTTATATTAGGGATTAAGCTAAGCTTATTATTATGCTTGTTTATAAGCAAATCTATTGATAAATTTGTTCACCAGAGACACCGGCAACTATTCAAGGAGTCGTAAGACTTAATTGATGGTATCAAAGTAAATGTACTTGACGTACGTAACCTACATCAATTTGGATCGAATGTTAATTGATTGGTTTTATTAGCCATATATAAATGTTTTATGTTCAATAGGTTGCTACTTGCTCATACGACTACCAATTAACTTTAGTACGTTATGACTTCGCTCAGTGTCATATGGTTAGGATTGCGGATGCCCCTTGTGTTATGATGTTAGCTTTGGTTCAAATCATCAAGTTTGGAAAGTCGTTTGGTTTTTATAATGGTTGCACGCTTGTGGAACGTATTTTGTTGCACATTTGCTTCTTGTACGATTTTGTGATCACATGGATTGAGAGTTGTCGCCCCGGCATTGTCTTTTAACATAAGTAATGATAAGTTTTTAATTAGGTTCCATTTTCATGGTCTAGTTATATGCTATTTGGACCAACAAAATATTTGTAAGAAAATGTAAAGGAAATAGGTCACATACCATAAATTAAATAATCCAATATAATTGATTGAATAATAGACAGGGTTGTGAATGAGAGCCACCTCAGAATATTGACTTGCGTTGCCTTTCTTAGCCAACTCACAAAGTGATGTGAAAAATTAAAGATTGGATTGCTTAATTAGAGATTGAGAGCCGGCCACCGTACCTCATGAATAATAAAGTCAAATAGATTGAGTGAAATTTTGAGTCAATACAAAATGGGCTTGGGTCACTCGAACAAAGTGGAGGAGAGTTTGGTGCACAAATAAGGCAAAGTAGATTCCATACTAAAATCGTACCAATTGGTAATTAATAACAGGAATAACTGTTGTACCGTACAAAGTAGTTACATCTCTCTTCTTTCTCTTATATGAGACACTCACAAATGTAATACAATAGGTACGTTTTATTAACAATACTCTTGTATTATTTTTCATTTTAGTTTTAATTTTTTGGAAATAATAATATAAATGAAAATCATGAAACTATGTATGCCTATGAATATTAACATCATCATAATCAATTTTGTGTTTACATAGATTAAAAAGTTCTAAAAGTATAAAATTCAAAACAAATGGTTTCTAATTGTTAGGTTGTTATTTTCAAAATAACATAATTGTTATAGGTATGATTAATTTTTACTTTATTATACAATATTATACATTGTAGAATACTAGAATTATCACTAATATAAAAAACTCTCATACCAAATTAAATGAGTTACGTCATAGATAATCAGCTAGTTACAATGTCATTGGAGTGAGTCTCACTCTTTATAAGTCCAAACATCTACTTTTTTTTCACTTGACTTATATGCCACCTTTAACATTTGTTTCTGATTTTACTCGTTGCCTTTTCAAATCTAATAAGTTATTATCGTCAATAACAGATAGTCTTACAAAAGAGTGAAGAGATACACTCTCTAATCCTCCATCACAATATGATATTCAGATTAATTTATATATGTGTACGTAATTTGAACTAGTTAATAGCATGACAAATAATTTCGAATAGGGCCGGCCGGATTCCGTAATTGATAGGGATAATCAAGCTAGGTTAATCAAGAAGCAACGTAGATCAGAGTAAAGGCCAGTGCACAAATAGCTAACTAGTCGACATACATTATACTCCGTACAATACAATACTATTCATTCTCCAATAACACCAAGAAGAAGCAAAACAAACCCTCCATATAAATTGGTGCAAAATCCAACGAGCAATACATAAAACTATATAATATACACTTGGTTCATTAAAATCGAATAACAACAATATATAATATCTCATATCTGCATTTTTTTACCACAACTAGAAGATATATTAGATTAAAAGGCTAAAGCCTTAGTATTTACATAATACATCCAAAACATTGTACACTGAAAATTGATGTACTTACAAAAGTTGCCAGTATAATTGGCTAACCATAGCACCGAACTAACTCTCCTAATGAGAGAAATATATACATCATAAGGTAACCCAAAAGCTATTAACATCCATGCCTTGTAACCAAAAGCTGCTAACATCCATTACTAAGACAACCTTAACATCAGTTTTGTTGATTAGTACCTGCTGCAACACGAGCCTTCTCGGCTTCATAAAGATCTGAAACACAATCTGGAACAAGATAATGAGTCTTGTAACCAACCGCCATATCTCTACCATGAATAGCCAATCTGTGAGCCAACTCATTTTTCTCTCTTGGAATATGGGTAACCACGGCCACATCAAAGTTAGATAAAACAGCAGCAACATCGCAAATAGCTGCAGCAAGTTCATGATGAGGATTCGGACCAGCAGTCAGAAGCATATCACAAAGAACCTTTGCATCAGTTTACACAATAACCTTTTTTAACCTCAAATCTTCCGCAATAGATAATCCATCATTTATGGCATATAATTCAGCCAATAATGGAGAAACAGCATCATACTTGCAGGAGAATCCAACATACCAAGAGCCATCAGAACGCCTTATCACCCCTCCTCCCTATGAAACAGCAGAATTTAACCAAGCACCATCTGAATTAATTTTGAAGTAGCCTTCCTTTGGAGGCTCCCACTGAGAGCCTGAAGAAACTTTGTCCTTCCCTTTCCTGTTCCTTGTTTCCTGTAAGATTGAGTTTGAAATTTTAAAGTCAAAGAAGAATTTAGTGAAGAGAGAAACTGGACCTATTTGTTTTCCATCAAAGATCGTGGAATTTCTATGTAGCCAAAGACGCCACAAGGCTGTAACAAAAATCAATTTCCATTCTTTATCCAAACCAAGATTATAATTTATCCATATCTTCCACGAAGAATTTTTAAAAATATTGAAATCAAAATTTTTTGGAAGATAAACCTTTGCAAATATATCATTCCATAAG